TCTCTCTCTCTCTGTCTGTCTCCCTGCCTGTCTCTCCCCCTGCCTGTCTGTCTGTCTGTCTCCCTGCCTGTCTGTCTCTCCAGTCTCCCTGCAGACCAAAAGAGAGGTTACAGTAATGTTTTTAACGCTCTGGCTAGAATCACCAGAGAAGAAGGCGTCACCACCATGTGGAGGGTGAGCTCCATCAATACTCAATGAACTCGTATCTTTACTCAAACATTAACCTTTTCTTCTCGTAATACAACATGTACTCTTCACTCTGTACCACTGTGTATTTGTGTACTTGTGTATTAGGGTTGTATTCCTACGATGGCTCGAGCAGTGGTGGTGAACGCAGCTCAGCTGGCCTCGTACTCTCAGTCCAAACAGGCCCTACAGGACTCGGGTACACAGTACACACAGTACACACTGTATACACAATATACACAGTACTTATACAGGACTCAGGTACACAGTACACACTATATGCACAGTATACACAATATACACAGTACTTATACAGGACTCAGGTACACAGTACACACTATATGCACAGTATACACAATATACACAGTACACAGTACTAATACATGTACAGGACTCAGGTACACAGAATACACAGTACACACTGTACACACAGTACTTATACAGGACTCAGGTACACAGTACACACAGTATACACAATATACACTGTATACACAGTACTTATACAGGACTCAGGTATACAGTATACACAGTATACACAATATACACAGTACACAGTACTAATACATGTACAGGACTCAGGTACACCGAATACACTATACACACAGTATACACAGTACACACAGTATACACGATATACACAGTATACACAGTACTTATACAGGACTAAGGTATACAGTATACACAGTATACACAATATACACAGTACTAATACATGTACAGGACTCAGGTACACAGTACACACAGTATACACAATATACACAGTATACACAGTACTTATACAGGACTCGGGTACACAGTATACACAGTATACACAATATACACAGTACTAATACATGTACAGGACTCAGGTACACAGAATACACAGTACACACAGTATACACAGTGTACACAATATACACAGTACTTATACAGGACTCAGGTACACAGTATACACAATATACACAGTATACACAGTATTTATACATGTACACAATATACACAATATACACAGTACTTATACAGGACTCAGGTACACAGTATACACAATATACACAGTATACACAGTACTTATACAGGACTCGGGTACACAGTATACACAGTATTTATACATGTACAGAACTCAGGTACACAATGCACAGTACACACAATATACACAGTATACACAGTATTTATACATGTACAGAACTCAGGTACACAATACACAGTACACACAATATACACAGTATACACAGTACTTATACAGGACCCAGGTACACGGTATACACAGTATACACAATATACACAGTATTTATACATATACAGGACTCAGGTGCACAATATACACAGTATACACAATATACACAGTATTTATACATATACTGGACTCATGTACATATTAAACACAGTAAGTACACACATAAAAACATAAACCGGACTCTTAAACATGAACTGTAATGTGTACTTTGTGTGTTTTCAGGGTATTTCGGGGACGATATTCTGTGTCACTTCTGTGCCAGTATGATCAGTGGTCTGGTTACCACGGCAGCATCGATGCCCGTGGACATCGTTAAGACCAGGTGAGACTCTAGACTAATGTTAAGACCAGGTGAGA